AGGATTGAATTTGATCCAGCTGAACACAGGCTACAAGTAGTTAAACAATTTCCTCTTCAATGCAATAAACTCAGCAGGCCAACAGCAGCTGCAAACAAATTTTATCAAAATTTAGTAAATTTGCATTTGTGTACGGTAAGGCAGCGGAGGGCTCACATAAACACACAGGGTTGTTTGCAGCTTAACTTAGAATAGGAGGTTTATTAAGCCAGTTAGCTATTCCTCACTAAGTAGTCTGAAACACCAAGTCAGTGACAACATCCGTGCTGCTCTCTTTTTGCTGTTGGAAGATAGCAAAATTGTCGAAATGTGGTAAAAATCTGGGCGAATAACGATTTGCGAGGAATGCATCCGACGCTAAAATGGTCGAAACATTTCGAAAGATATCAATTTGAAAGACGACAGATTTCAGTGATATCCTTTTTTTCCCTAAATTTCGGATCGAAGAGAACAAACTGTGCGAATGAACACGTTAAAGTCGTTTGCGCAAAAAGGGTGATTGTTTGGTAGTAGAATAAAATACCTGGTGAAAGGAGCCTTTCCATGCGATCGTCTTGCTTGGATACTGTCATCGAGATTGATTTGATCGTCGGGATGGGCACCTGCTTCTCAGCAATAAATGATTTCCCCTCATCCAGCCCCCGAACTGGCAGCACTGCACCTGCGCCCTGCAAAGAAACTGTTGCCCAGCGAAGCACTTCGAAAATTCGGGGGATCTAATTGATTATCTGAGTACTATCAAATAGCTGCATCTGCCCGACTTGCTTTCATACTTCAACTATCAACTATTTTATCGTTGAATTTAGGGATTGAGAAAGAAGTACATATTAGAAAATAGCTAGCAAAGACGAAACAGAGGTAGGCAAAGGCGAAAACGGATCTTCTTTATTTCTTTTTTAATGAAAAGATTCAAAAAAGCCAAAATCCCCTTCATATTCGTTTTTAGGAGGGACGGAAGCATTCGGGAAACAGCTTGAGTAGTAGCAGATGCCAAAAGCAGTTACTCGCTGGCCAGGCTGTCGATAACTTGATTTTTCGAAGGCAGCTTTGATACATGCTGATGGCTAGTTCCTGGCATGCACTAATATCAGTTTACTACTGAAAAAGAGAGAACGGATCGCAGAAAGATTGGTTGTCCCACCAAAGGAATCGAACCCTCGATCTTCTACAGACACGATGACAGCAGTTTTACTTCCCACTGCACCTAGCGTGCTAGCATGAGAAAAATACTTTCATCAAATTTTCTACTCCCACTCCACCATATTTGCGCTTTATTGCTACAAAAGGGAGAACGCGCCTTAACCAGGAACGCCAATTCAAACACAATTTTAATTTTTATAGAAAATTCACTATGTGGTGAGGAAGTGTGCGTAAATGGGCATGCCTCACCTCGTTGACTGCCCGTGCGTCGGTCAGCGAAGCCTTGAGTGGCGAGCGCCTAATTTCATCCGGGATCGCTTTCAGCAGTTTATTCAAATCATCAGCTCTTTCGCCATCGACTCGCTGCTGGTCAGCACCGATATTCCCAGCATTGCCCACAAAAAAAGATGCATCCTGGTGGGATTTTCCAGCAGTCTTCCGTACTTCAGGAGTTTGGTTAGCAGGTCTGTCAGAAGCAGAGATAATGAAAGAGGGAAGAGTGGGCACTGTAGACTCGGCCAATTGCGCCATTTCGATGATCTCGTCGTAGATATCTTGACTATCATCGAGCCGTTCCGCGGATACGTTCGGAGCACTGCTGGTGGTGACACTGGGATAGGAGGTACTTGAGCTCATACTCTCTGAAATACTGCTCTGCGAACTATCTATGGCGTCAATTTTCCTTGTTTGCGGCCTGCTGAAAAAAGGCATAGGCGTTATAGCTCGACCATCCGGTGGCACATGGATTAATGAATTCGCGAGTGCTACTGGCCGTTGCACCTCAATGAACCCTTTGGCAATCTCTGGTCCTGTCGTTGATGATGGCATCTCGGGAATTCCGGATACGGCATCCAGCAGTGCAGGACTCGCTCGACTGAGAAAGCGATCTGCAGTAGTGACAAAAATTATGCTTGTATCA